CCCTTTGTATCTGCATGGTAGACATAAAATAACAGCCTTCTGCTAGCCGTCAATCAACGTTCTTATAAGCTCAGCCCTCGACTAATAAAAAATTACATGTATGCCAGGAATCCTATCTGGAATTCAGCTGGGTGAGCTGCTCGTAATAATTATACACTTTCCAAACATGCCGACACCTTTCACTATAACCGAGAAGACATTATTAAGGCCCCCGGTGAATTCACGTACATACTTGTTGGCCCCGGCTGCTTGGGTGAAACTTGTTAGGTCTATAAATCAGGCAACAAGAAGGAGCCAAGAATGGTGCATTAGCCTTGGGCGCTAACCATAGATGGGCCACCTATGAGCCCACAAAAAGCAAACTGAAAATTAAAATTGCGGAAGACATCTGAGCCAAGGAGGTTATTCCATGAATTCTGAAACCAACAGCTAGTGATTGAAGGCAGACTTCAACAAGAGCTAATACTTTAGTTCTGGTTAGCCGAAGATGGATTAAATTACCAAATGAACTTCGGTTAAAAATACAAAAAAAGTAGCCAATTTAAATGTAAAATAAAAAAAACTGCTTATGATGCAATACCCAACTTCAGTATGGAGCTATCCCTGCAGTAATTCTTTTCTACCACTAGATGTCCCAGGTCTTCTGAGTAGGATGATGGCCAGCATCATTCAACCCACTTCCTCTGAGCCCAGGCCGTCATGCAGTGGCGAAACAATCGCCATAGCGATCCAGGCGGCCGGTATGGTGCCCGGGGCACAGGGCGGCCTGGCCAGGACATCCATCCCCCTGATGCCGTGCCGGCCGCCTGGGTCGCTTTGGCATCTCAGGCTGTTGGCTGTCATCGGCGGCTGTGAGGAGGAACACGCCGCTGTTCAGATCACTGACAACCTGTCAGTGATGTGTGCAGCGACGCATTCCTCCTCACAGCTGCTGCTGAATCAGTGACAGCCAGCAGCTGTGGTGGAGGAGAACAATGCCTGGCATCAACAGCGATGGAGGAGGCAGGGCACGGCTATGGAGAAGGTGGGCCCCAGCGAATGAGGAGGCAGGGCCTAGTGACAGAGAGAGAGAATATCTGTTTTACAAAAAATATTTAGCACATGACAAAGAACTCCCAGAGCACTGTGGGTTAGCTAACGAGAGAATCCAGCAGAATCTGCCAGCTTTGAGGCTTTATTTTTCTAACTCCGGACTGAACCGACCAAGAAGAGAGAAGTCGTTACAATGAGTGATTTGCCTTTATGTAAATTTCAGCTCAAGCTATTGAGTTCTTAATTTTTTTAGATTAAAGAACCAAAAGGAGAGCCTGGGAAACATGAAAAGAAACCTACAGCTCCACTCGCTGACTCAAAAAGAGAATTCAAAATATTTTATTTTTATATAACTATATATAGATCTAGAGATCTATATAACTATAGATCTCTAGATCTCTATATAGATCTAGAGATCTATAGATATATATATATCAAATGTATTTATTTAATACCCTGACCATAATAAATAATTAAAAAAATATGTTCAAAACCACTATACATACTGTACATTTCCTTTGGAAAAAAAACAAAATGTGAATATAAGACACTTGGTTATACACCATAATTAAAAGAATCAAAGTCCTGAATTTATCAACTGCATTTCACTCCTATGAGGCCAGAACAGGCTGTGTTAGCCTATGTCTTCCTGACACGTGGGAGCAGAAGCAGCCCCAGGTATCTGAATTGCCCTGCCTAAACCCATTACAAGTCTGAGAGCTATGTTGTGTAAGGAAGTATCATTGTGTTGGCAGCTGTATGTGGCCACCGCAGTAATTGTTCCACTTATTGCAGATACACAAGATAATGCTCTAGGCAAATGATTGGGATTCTCTGTGGTGTATTTATGACTCTCTTTCACCTTTCACACCACAGAGCTCTGCTGAACATTTTTAGAGTGCTAATTTAGTAATTAACCACTTTCCTGACTGTGTAGCCAGTTCTTGTACTTGTGAGGTGAGAGGTCAATTGGTAACGCCTCTGTGTGGTCCCTAGTCATGTTCTTCTGTAGAACGGCTGCTCCTTTTGCACCTATTAACTCACTTAAAGGCAGTGGCGACTCTAGGAACAATATTTAGGGGGGGCACATAAGATACCACAGTCAGATCTGGGGGGGGCACTAATAAATACTTTTTATTTATTTAACTTTATTTATTGTTTTACATATTTTTTACTTTTTATTAATTTAACTTTTTTTTTAAACTTTTTTAAATTTTATTTTGTTTTATTTTTTAAACTTTTTTTTTTACTTCATTGCTGGAAGCAATAGCCAGCCTGCTATTGGATATTTCAAATTGCGATAGCCAAAAACAGGCTGGCTACCGCACCCACCCACTGTCTGCTCTCAATCAGCAGAGGAGAGACCTGAAGTTTTCTATCAGGTCAACCTCTGTTGATTGACAGCAGGCAGTGGGCGGGTGCAATAGCCAGCCTGTTATTGGCTACTTGGCTACCTGACTCTGCAGAAATGAAAGCTCCACGGCCGCCCCTGAGAAAAAAAACCCTTCCTGCACGTGGGCAGGAAGGTACCAAAACATCAAATTGGACGGGGGTGTTGGGACGTACCAACTGTTCCGTACGACCGCGGCGGACCCTGCAAGGACCAGTCACAAACACCTTGCCGATCCCTGGCGGGGGGGCACAAGGGGGGGGCAAGTGAAAACCTTGCCCCCCTGTAGCGACGCCACTGCTTAAAGGATATAATTATGGATTTAGTATTCTATCAGACTGCAGTGGTCCATTACAGCATAAGGAGCCAAGAGGAGCCAAAAACAAACATATATGTATGCATTACACCTCTGCAACTCATGCACATTTCCCCATGTTGTAACCCTTTAAAGACCATGTAAGTACATAAAAATACCTTTTGATCTGTCAGAAATGCACTAAGCATTACTAATTTAAAATATAACTTCCCCCTATGCTGTCCTCCTCAACATAGAAATGTATCATTCTGTAGTCCCAAGAAACCAACAAGGAGGGCTAATTAGACTTCTTCAGATAAGACAGGAAATGTGCACAGGGCACAGTACAGCTCTGATCTTTTTACATGATCCACAGGTATTTATTTTGCACTTATTGAACAGATATAACAAAACACTTTCAATTGTATATTTAGCCGATCAAAAGGGAGAAAAAAAAAGAAAAGTTAATTGTTAGGGTTGACATACTCTTTACGTTATTAAAGATGCAAGTATTCAGGACTTTACACGTGTCTCTTATAATTGTATCGCCTGAGGGCAGGTCATAATATAGGTCTTGAAAGCTTGCATCTTTAATACTTACTTTACCCAAAAAAGGTATCCATTAAAAAATCAGAGTTGCTGGATGGTTAACATGCCACTGTAGTATTGACTACAGCAGAAAGGGTGGCTGGGCAGTTGCGGAACTCTATGTTCTGGAAAGTGTTGTTACCTCCCTTATGACATGCGGCCATATATTGCAGCAGAGTTTGGTTATCTAGGTTAGTACTTGCATTATGATACAAATCTTTTGAAACGTAAAACAATTTCTATATATACATTTTATCAGTATCTTTAGCAATCAGGCTGGAGTTGCCTTAAAGGGACCCTGTCACCAAATTAGAAAATTGCAGGTAAAAGCACAGAAAATTCAAGTATTTTACATGCTTACTTGCAGTGTTACAACATGCCTGGGGACGTACTAGAAACTTTGACTAGTCAATTCCATAGCAAAGCCTCCTCCCTCTTTGCACATTATAGCCCTCTCCTCTGCTGGGAGTGTCTAAATACTCTCTGCGCTGGCCAAGCTCCTCTACCCCTCACCTAACTACATAACCTTTTATGTAGGGAGGTGGGAAAATACAATAGAGTGTTATTTGAGTGATAGCTTTGAGTATGTTGGGGCTGCTGACATCACATGTAAAATGGCAGCACACAGCAGTAGGTTCGGGGCTTTTGCATGTCTACATAAGGGAGCTTTCTACAGATAATTAACATGCATAAAATATGTTAAATTTACATTTCATCTTATTGGAAGATTTTGGTTAAAATGAATGATCTGGAGACAGGATCTCTTTAAGGTTTTAGGAGTGGGAGCCAAGCGGAGTCAGCGAAAGCTAACTTTCATCAGACTGCAGCCTAATGGCCCCCTACGACCTGGCAGAGACGCCGGGTAATGATGGAAATTACTATTACTCCTGGTAATGATGGAAATATTATGCAGAAACAAGCTGCATAAACCATATACAGAATTCCAAGCCGTCTGCCACAGACAGCTCATATATAATATATCAAATATTTTATTTTGTTTTCTTTATTTTCTCTTCATGAGGAAACCTTACTACCATAATTGCACTAATAAAGAGAAACAATTGGGCTACACTTCCTGCCAAGGAGGGAAAAGTGTCGCAGCCAACACTATCTGGCATTTGGACACGTGGATAGGGCTGATCACTCATGGGGAGACGGAGGAAGCATTTGCCATGTGCTAGAGAATTGTGCGTTCATCAGTTCAGATAAATAAATTAAAGAGGAACTCCAGGTGGATATTTAAATTAATATATAGACTGGGAGAGGAATGGTCATCACTCTGAACCAGTCAAGCTGGCCATACACCAGCAGAATTTTGTTTGAAAAAAAATAGTTTTTGGAAGGTTCATTTGGTTTTCTTATAGTTAATGGGGTCAAATTGATAAATGTTTTCAATTAAAGTTTACAAATCGAACAGGACAGGGCATTTTTCTCAAACTAATGAGATTCTAACATTGAAGTTGGTTTTCATTTGGGAGACTCCATTTATTCTAAAATCGAATGTTAAAATCAAACAAAATTTCAAATGACATTCGTGAAGTCTCGGATGGCATTTATCGAATGTTCTGATTAGATTTTTTTGTAAGAATGTTTGTACCAGTATATAGACAGCTTTAAGTAGGGTATATACTGTTATATTTTCTTTCTTCAACCCGAGGGCGGAACTAAGAAAATTGAACCAGATCCCTGAATTACCTTTCTTCCAGCCTCGTTGTTGTGTAAGTTCATGAGCCGTCGGGCATTTTTCCTTATTTCCCGAGCATCCACAAATTTCCTGGAGAACTCAATGCCGTATTTGATGTCGGCCGAGCATCCTCCCCACTTCCATCCTTCTTCCTGGTTGTAGTAGCCCTGCTTTTCCCGGTCACAGCCGCAGTTACTGAAGTTTCCCTGGCTGCAGGCAGAAGTCACTGCATGAGCCACCCCGGCAGCGGTGATTGCATAGGTGAAAGCAGCTTCCCTGCTACCTGTGGAGAAAAAAAAGAATAACTATGAAGTGATCTGACAACCGTTTCCTTCACCCAAAGTTAAAAGGCATTATTGTTTAATGGGTCAGTCCATACAAAGGGATATTTCAGTTTTTAGTGGATCATGGAGAATTAAATTACTTGACAGTCTCTTCTATCTCATGGAGACTCTACTGGTGAGATGTTTACAATGAGTTCCCAAATATGCACACCACAGTATGAGGGACTCCCACCATCACTGCTGGATTGTTATTAATTTATATTATAGAGAATGGAGGAGCTGAAACACACAAAGGTGGGCAGAAATATCCAGGTAGACATGAACGGAACCGGTAATTGTTTTGGAGTATGCAAGACATATAAGAAACCAGAGGCTGATTCCGCCTATAACTAAAATATCACTAACTCTTGGTTATTCACCTTTCCCCATGCTGTTTTAAAACGATGCAAAGGAGGAGAAACTAAAGCTTTAATGTGAATGGTAACTAGGAGACGTCATATATAGGATAAGTTACCCGCTGCAAAGCTATTTGTTATAGTTATTTATAGCCTTGGGGCTATATGCTATATGTTTTAAGGCCATGCACTCCTGGCATGGATATTTATTGGTTAGTGTTCTGTAAGAGTTCCCATCAACAGTCATGTCTCTGTGGTCCCAAACAGCTATCCAAGTTCTGGGGACAGGGGCGTAGATATCAAAATGAACATAACTCAAGACAATGTTTTTAAAACTGAACAGTCTAATGAAGAGTTAAGATACAGGTTTTAATGCAGAATAAGTCTTGATGCAAATGAAGATCACTAGCACTCAATGAATACTTGTTAATTCTTGTTTGTATTTATTTGAAAAGGTGCGTCACATGCAAAAACCAACGTTTTGGGGCCACGCAGGGTCATCAGGGTGACATAGGGGTCTATCCACTAAGCTGCCGTAGGCAGCCGAGTGAAAGACCGACCTGAAGTAAAGTGAGCCGAACGCTGTTCGGCTATTCACTTCAGGCTGGTATGGCTGATTTCAGCCGTATATCGGCTAAAATCAGCCATACATCGGGTGGCATCACGTGGCTTCGGGTCGGCCGAACATGCTCAGCATGTTCAGCCGACTGGAAGTGCAGGAGGAGTTCGACTCAGCCGATCCAGCATCTGGATCGGCTAAGCCGAACCTCCGGCTGGCTACTCGCTGCTGTTCGGTCTATTCTTATAGATGCCGAACAGCAGTGAGTGAATAGCCGAATGCCGATGAGCGGCATTCGGCTCAGCTGTTATGCTCGGTCCCTCAGAGGCAGAACAGAAAAATAGTTTAAAAAGTTTTTAAAAAAAAATAGAAAACGATTGTGCGGAGCTAGCAATGACAGCTAGCTCCGCCCAACCGTTTTCTATTGGCCGGCTAGATTCCTATGGGCTGTTTCAATTTGAAATAGCCAATAGTAAACTAGCATTGTACCCGCCCTCTGCTTATGGACCTGATGGAGAACTGCACCAGAGGGCGGGTGCAATGCTAGTTTACTATTGGCTATTGCAAATTGAAATAGCCAATGGGAATCTAGCAATGCATTCCTATGGGCAAAATTTTTTTTTTTTTTTTTTCTATTCTGACACGGCTCCATGTCAGAATAAAGAAAAAAAAGGAAAAGCAGTGTATCTCTCCTGGGCGGCTAGGAAAGGGAGACTCCCGAGCGCCCGGGAGAGTTTGCTGTCTGGAGATCACTGCCCCTGGTTAGCTGGTAACCAGGGACGCTGATCTCTCTGCAAGTGGCCCGTACAGCAGCCCTTCGGTTCTACTGAACCGAAGGGGTCCTGGGGCCGAAGCTAGCTGAAGGATCGGCCGAATCTGCGGCTAGATCCATCAGCTGCTTCGTGAATAGACCCCTATATGTTATATACCTATATGTTATATCCCCTGGCAGCTACATAAAAGGTTATGTAGGGAGGTGAAGGGAGGGATGGAGGAGCTGGACCAACACAGACAATGATTAGACACTCTCAAAAGAGGAGAATATTATGATATGCAAGAAGGGAGTGGGCTATGCCAAGAAATTGACCCTTAACGAGTAGTTTTTCTAGCAAGTTCAAAGGTACATTGCAAATGAATAAAAAAGAACAATTATGAAAAAGAAAAAACGAAGGCATTTTAATGTTGCTTTGTATCTCGCCTATACAACGACGTTCCTGCCAACAATAGATCTTAGTTTGCTTCTGCCCCAGCAAGATTATCCATGTAACAGCCAAGGCTTCAAAGAAAACATTTATACATTTATACACAGAGGGTCGGTTTCCTAATCATTTCACAGTGCCAGCCAAAGTCTGACAGCAAGCCTCCTGGTGCCAGGAATCCTGGGTAAAGTCCATGGCTGATGGCATGCATTTTTTCAGTGTTTCTAATGCATTAATTTCCACGATTCCTCCTCACCACTCTTCATCAGATGTTAAATATAAAAAGATGACTTTGGTATTGCAGAAATGTTAAACACGTCCTGGCAGACTACAAGCATTCTCTCTAAACCCCATTCAGGATTCAAAGCTGGATGGATTCTGGCTGTAGTAGTCTCTAGGAATAAAAGTCAGTATAGGCTGCTACAAAAACTTAAGCAATATGCACATTGTAGCCCCCTACAGGATATTTAAAGCAGAACTCCAGCAAAAAAAAAAACAAACTAAAACACTTAAAGAGCCCATTAAAAGTTAAAGTTAAAAAAAACAATATTTTGTTGCAATACTAATGTTCAATCTGTAGCGTTTTCCCACAGTACTTCTTTTCTGTCACAAGATGTCCTTAGTCTTATGGGTATTGTCACTGTTGTTTCACAAGTCTGTAGCTTTGAGCATTGAGAACCTGACCATGCCTAGTCTTGCTCACTTATTTCTGGATTGACAGCACTGTTTCTGTTGCTGAAACCCTACCATTGTGAGCTACAGTGTCTGGGAGGGGGAACATGTGAGACACGAATGATGGAGGATTTGGCTCAGTCAGGGAAGGTAAAGGAGGTTTTTGTTCCCTTCATGAGGCTTATGTATCCCATCATAACTGGACTTGTTTAGATTGTCATAGAGAAGCCCCTAGTTAAAAAGTGCACTTCCTGGAATGTTTATCGTCTGGGAATAAATATGTAATAGTGTAATAAATATGTAGAGTCAAAGACGGCTTGAATTTGTCTGATTGAGAAGGAATTGGTGGAAATTCGAGCTGCCTCTGGCCAGCCTTAGCCACCATCCCAGTTACATTATGGCACCCAGCTGTTATTATAGGGAATAATGCAATTATGTGTATGTGTGAGCACAATCTAAAAAAGCATTCAGTACATCCCTGCAATACATGTAGGTATCCTAATGTTTTAGCCTTTTAAAAATGCCACACTAGCTCTGACTGGCGGAACGGACGGGGGAGGGGGCGGGTACAGCTGGCTCTGCCTCTAGATAGGCAGAGCCAGCTGTCACTCACACAGCTGGGCGGATCCCGTCATCTAAGTCGGGATCCGCTCCGGCTGCGGTGTCTCAGTATACCGCGAGCTGTAGCTCGCGGTATACTGAGCTTAGGGTAACGGGAGGACGCTAGTTTGTGTCCTCCCGTTACCCTAAGGAGAACTATGGGGAAAAACACTGACCCCATAGTTCTCCTTTAAGCCTCTGCTGCATTGAAATTCTAAGCAATGTTGTCAGAACTGCCTGCTGGACTATAGAGCTCTGCCCATACCCATAACTCTCTGTTCCTCTACAAATGAATACATTGATATCTTTCTCAGCAAAACAATGTTGCTGGCTTGACTCCCAAGAGCCTCCCCACACACTGTGTGTGGGGAAAGGGCTTTTGGGAGATATTATACTGGGGGAAGGAAGCATGTCTACATTGATATAACCTGGGTTTCCATCAGCTGCTCCTAACGGATATCAAAAGCCTAATAAAGATGTCATAGGGAATAATAAAGTTGTTTCTCACGACAGAAACAGGGTAAAAGAAAAAAATTAATGGCAGGGTATGCTGTAGAGAGGGAAAGGGAGGTTTGGGGGTAAATTTGGGAAATGATTAGACAAGCACTTTAGGTGAGCCAGACATGAAAGTGAAGTCACTCACTCTAAACAAGCATTCTATTAGTGATGTTAAAGCAAAGCCAGAACTCCTGATCTACATACATGTTCCGGGTCAGTGACTCAAGAAGTACTGAAGCCAGAGGACATAACAGCCAAGCAACTACATTTTGGAAAGAGAGCTCAGCAAAAGCAACCTCACTGTTTCATTTCAGAGCAAGTTTCCTTTAATACATAGCTTGAATAGATTGCATAGAAATGTACATTTATGGGCCATTTAAGATGCAAACATTGAAACACATTACTTATACACCCCTCTGATTGCAGCGTAAAGCTGTGGCTATCACAATGATAGAAATGACCGTCTAATAGACTTCCAATGGGAAAGAAGTAAAGAGTGTATTAGGTGTGAAGAGATCAGATGGGGATTAAGATAATCTCTGGATCACACAAGTTGGCCTCGTTATGCAGGGAAACCCATAACCACCATTAGGCCTTGGAGGAGTCTTTCGTCTTTTCAATTGCACGTGACATTTCAACAGCTTGTAAAAGCTAAGAACCCCGTCCATATATCATATGCCAAGCTCTTAACTCTAAACCATTAAGGCCCATCAAACACTAAGACCTTTCCTTACACACTCTAGACAGCGTATCAGTGGAGAGGGCCTTCGGGGTGTAGCAGGCCCACAGTCATGATGTCATGCCACTGAAGGCCATGGAGATAATTAAGATAGCAAGCACCAGTGCTTCTGAGAAGAGTTCTTTGAAAGCCACAAATGAGGTGTTGATGGGAGACAACATCCATCACGTCAGGGCTAAATCTGTAGACCTGAAATATCCAAGTGCCATAAACTCTGTCATGCAGAAACAGCAATTAACTCTTCAGTTTCTAGGGGAAAGTACTGCTTTCCTCAAAGAGAAAGTATTATCATTCTATCATTTCCATTACAGATAAAAAAAAACAAGGGAATGTAATC